ACATTTACTAGACGATTAATATTTTTCTGAACATTTATTAATCTTTACTCTACATTTATTATCTTACTGAACTTATATTAAATTTACTTAACATTTATTATTTTCACTGAACATATACATACATATGTGCATTTAATTTGTTCTCAATTTGTATTACCACATAAGTAAATCTACAATGTCACAACATATTATCCAGGAGATAGTTAGATCAAATAAGAACAATATTAAATTACATAATTTTATTTTGGGTTAACTTGTTGTTTACAGAACCAGAAGAGGATGCTGAAAGCTGCCTTCGGGCACTTAAATTCGATAATTTGACAGCAGAGCAATTTGATAACACTTGGAAAGCCAATTCCGGCTTCAGTTTATAAAGTCCAACAATACAGCCGAAGTAATGAAAAAATGGCCATTTTACAAAAATCCTTCGGGATATCGACAGGTAAAGCTATTAGAAAAATTTTGTTCTATTTCACAACCCATTCTTTTTTTTTAGATCGACATGGATTTTAAAGCGTGCTAAAATGTGGACAAAATTATTTCTTTTTTAATGGGTGACAACCGCATAAAAGATCGGACTATAAAACAAATGGTGGATAGGCTGAATGATAATACTAGGCCAGGCACTGAAAGTAAGTGTACCTATTAAGCATTTTTTACTTTTTTATTTGTAAGCTAGCAAAGAAATTGTTGAATTCCATTAGCATACAATTATTCTATATTGAGGCTCTCTTTTTTTACAGATGGTCGTAATGCAGCTATATTTTGGGCTTTACATGGGTACCTCGAACCCAGCAATAAAGTTGTCAGGAAAGACCTGACTACCGGAAAAAAAATCGTAAAAAAATTTACTATTATAGATGCACAGGAATCGGTGATTTTTGTTGGGAAGAATCAACAAGACATTGAAGACAAAATTAATCATTTAAAAAAAACTAGAACTTCAATCCAGCCCTCCATATATTGCATTGGGCCAGATATATTTTCAATCAAAGAGATATTCATAAATTTTGATGACATAAGATATAAATTTACAAATGTTTTGAAAGCTTTAGATATTTGCTTCAAAATCATATATTTATTTGATCTCAAATTTCCCACTGAATCGGAAATGTTTTATTTCTTTATTGAAACTTATTTTTTTGAATTAAAATCTTCCAAGAATAATTCAAAAGTTCACATTTTGTGTGAGTATTTGTCACAGAAATCTGCAGAATAAAAAAATATTCTAAAACATCTTTGTTTTTTTATAATACCATTTTTTATAGAATTACACAGAATAAAAAATATTTTAAACATCTTTGTTAAAGGGGGCGCATGTTAAGAAAATTTAAAAGAAAGTGTATAAGTATTTAAACTTGCAGTTCTGTGTAAAAGTATTTATTGTTTAAAACAAACCTTTATAAACTCTACTTAACTCGCATAAAAAATTTTTACTCCCACACACACTATCGGTTTGTCATGATACCTAGGTAAGCTTATCCTTTTTTTTTAATTTTCGTGTTTAATTCTTAGCCCACCTTAATGGTTGTAACAAAATGAAAATGTATGATCTACAGACCAAGGAATCCCTGAAAATTGTACTTTTATTATTTAAGCATACAGGGAATACATATATTTTTTTAATTACAACATTTTGTTAATAATAAATCATCATGACAACAAACAACAATATTAGAAAGTGTCAAAATGAATTGACTAAATTCGTTACTCTAGACAGAAGATAATGTCCCTTAAAGTAACGAATTTGGTCAATTCGTTTGGACACTTTCTTATATTGTTGTTTGTTGTCATGTTGATTAAGATTTAAACTATCACTTTATTATTAGAGAATGTTGCCTCTTCAAGAAAAGATGTATCCTCTTTATCTTTTTAAATAATAAAGGTCGAATTTTTTGAATAATTTTCTAGGATTCCTTGGGGTTTGTAGTAATACTCTTTTGTTGCCACCATTGTGAGAATTTTCACAATTAGTCAGTATTAATGATACTTTTCATTAATATTCAAATCTCCCATACATTATTATAATGAAAAAAAGTTATTAAATAGATGAATCCATTCATTATTCACACTAGATTTTCTACATTAAATCAATGAAATCTATTCATTGGAACAATGAATGTATTCGTTAAAGCAACGAATCTGTGTTTATTAAATTAATGTTTAAAATTCATTGAAACAATGAATGCTTTCGTTGAAGCAACAAATTACATTACCATTATGTCAATGAAAAAAAGTTATTAAATAGATGAATCCATTTATTAATCACACTAGATTTTCTACATTAAATCAATGAAATCTATTCATTGGAACAATGAATGTATTCGTTAAAGCAACGATTCTGTGTTTATTAAATTAATGTCAATTAAATTATTTTTCAATTCAATTATAAGAGTTCATCAAAATGATGAAATTTAATTCATACTTTAAATGTATGACTTTTCATTATATTGATGAATTAATAACACCATTCATTGAACATTTTCATTGTGTTTATATCCACTTTTGGTTCAGTGTCTCATTAAAAGTTCTTACAGTTCTTTCCAAAATTTTGCCACACTCGCCATATGTATAAAACATATTAAGAATATCACGATAAGTATAAGTATTGTTATCAGCCATCATAAGACAATTAGCTATCTGTCAGTTTACATTTACTTATTTGTCAAATATGACATATAAAATCATCCAAAGCACACTTGTGACAAGTGTCAAATTTTTTTGTAAAAATTAAATATCTCAAAAACAAATCAAGATAGGAAAACGATTCAAAATGCAACTGCTTCAGAATTTTACGTAGAATTCTAAAATGCAATAATATTTATACGGTTCCATTTGAAAAAACACACTTCCGTTTAAACCACGAGTGACAGGGCATTAAAAATATTTTAGAAAAATATTACTTTATATAAAACATTATGTTTTAGTTTTTAATAATATACATATATTGTAGGTAAAATTTTGACAAATTTATATTATAATAATATTAATTTTATTTAAAAAAAAATATATATATTTTAGGTTTAATTATATATTTAAATTAATTTTGTATATTCTAGATTATTATTAAAATTATTTTTTTTAATGTTTTGTTTATTTGTAATAAATTTATTTAAAAATTTACTTACCTTTTTAACTTATACACATACCTACCATAGAAGCTAAATAAAATTTAGAAAAATAAAAATGATGAGGTGAGTTTTAAAATGATATAATCAAACAAGTTTTTTTTTAAACTTAAATATTTTATTATTTTTTAATATAATTTTTTATATAATTACATTTAAATTATTTACATTATTAACAGCTACCTAATTAAATATAAAATCTATTACCTATTACCTAATTAAATATAAAATCTATTACTATCTAAAGTTTCATTTAACTTACGTCCTATATTGTTATATATAAAATAATCGAATTTATATACCAATTCAAGCCAAATCATATGGTTACTATATCTTGGTTTGGCTTCTATAAAAGATTTGAACATGTTTGTGTTGTAAAAATGTCTATCATCACGGCAGATCTCAACGATTATGTCACCTAAGATTGAATTAAACGATTCCTCTAGACGTAATTCTTCATATTCTTCGACAATATTACTGTGGAAGGATTTTAACTTCAATAGATTATCCAGAGTTGATTTTTGAACAATATCATAATTTCCAGATGATTTTTCTGTCATTTTCACATTATTGGCCGGCATCGTTTTTATCACATAGTTTGAAACCTCGAACTCTTCTCCATTATTGGTATTTTAAATTCGTTGTTGTTGAAAGTGATGGCGTTGTATTCCTTGCCTACTTTACATAGTTTTACACATATAGAAAAATTACTATATGGATTCATACCCACTATGTACTAACAAATGTTTGATAGCGTTACTGGGATTCGGACCCCTTTTAAAAGGTTATTTTTCTCATAATCCAATTCATGTATTGTTTGTTTAGATGCTAATGTATTTTGCGAGTAGTCACAGATTTTATTTAGATACAATTATTTCTGTATTCTGAAATAAAATAAATAATATATAATATAATAAAATAATAAATATATATAAAAATAATGTAATAATAAAAAGATGTGTTAATTTCATTATATAATAATTGCTGCTAATTGTACCATAAAATTAAAAAAAAACAGAAAATTTGATGTTAATCAAACTTTGACCTCGAATATCTCTAGAAGAAATTAATTTATCGAAAAATAATAAGAGACCTTTTTTGTAGAGCGTTACATTTTATATAAGAAACTGCAATGATCATTGCCATAAGTTACTTTGATACAGAGGTATAAAATTCCAAACATAAAATTATTTTTTCCCATGTTAATTAAATGGGAAACTAAAATAAAAACAAACAGTTTAATTTTTAATCATCATGACAACAAACAACAATATTAGAAAGTGTCAAAATGAATTGACTAAATTCGTTACTCTAGACAGGAGATAATGTCCCTTAAAGTAACGAATTTGGTCAATTCGTTTGGACACTTTCTTATATTGTTGTTTGTTGTCATGTTGATTAAGAATTAAACTACCACTTTATTACACAGTGCAACAAGAAATTTCAGCCCAAATGAATCCAACGCGAAATGAAAGTAGGACAACAGACTAAGAAAACTCTCGGAGGGTTTGGTGATATTAGCTCGAATTTTTTTTTGATGGCCTCTTGAAGAAAGCATTCTTTGTGGCCAATTTTCGACTTGTAAGCATTACAGTAAATAAATTAATAAACCAAACTAGTGGAATTATGTATTGTATCATTGAAAAAAGCATAAAAATTTTAAATTTGTTTAATAAATTTAACTGCTCCATTTTTCGTGCCGGTGAGTTTATACGACAAATATATATTCGGAGGTACTCTTGGTTTTTGTGTTCAATTTACGTTTTTTTGTGATTGTTTTCTTTAGTTTACGTTCATAGGATAAATATTTGAGACTTTCTTATGCTAATTCAGTATACGTTTAAGTTTTATTTAAGTTTAATACGAAAAACGATGGTTTGCAATATAAACAATTTTTGTTACGTTTGTGGCCATTTCACGCCACAAAGGACAAAACATGGATACTTTAGTGAAAAATTTAAGTTTGCCTACGAGAAATACTTTAATCTACCACTTATTTCCAACGTGATTTGGGCACCAAATATCGTTTGCAAAAAGTGTTACTCTGATCTTTTGAATTGGATGCATAAAATAAAACCAAATTTGTCGTTTGGAGTGCCGATGATCTGGACAAACCCTGGTAATCATGATCCATCTAATTGTTATGCTTGTGCAAATTCAGGTTGCTTAATGAACAGAAAAAAAAATAAGAACAAAGAGTATCTAGGGGTCTCTAGTGCTCAATTACCATTACCACATACAGAAAACATTCCAGTGCCAAGAACACCGAGCCCAGACGTGTTATCAGGTACCACTTTTGAAACTAAATGGGATGATGGTATTTCTCTGTATGTACCCGGGCCAAGTTTATCTAAGGCGCCAATTTTAGTTACTCAAAATAAGCTGGACTCCATAGTTGCAAAATTAGGACTTTCACAACGTAAATCAGAAGAATTGGCTTCATTTTTGAATTCAAACAATCTGTTGGAGCCTGGAACAAAAGTCTCGGCATATAGAAACCGCCAAGGGAGACTGCAAAAATGTTTCACAACGAATAAAGAGAAAACAGCTGCATACTGCAATGACGTCGAAAGACTCATGAGAGAAATGGACATCCAGTACAGAGCAGATGACTGGAGACTGTTCATCGACAGCTCCAAATTAAGCTTGAAAGCAGTATTACTTCATAAAACAAACACAAAACCATCGGTATCTATTGCCTACAGTATTGAAACAAAAGAAACTTACGACTCATTAAGAACAATACTACAAAATGTTGATTACGACAAATATAAATGGCGAATATGCTGTGACTTGAAGGTTGTTGCAATTCTTCGTGGGTTGCAAACAGGTTACATAAAATATATGTGTTTTATTTGCGATTGGGACTCCAGATATAAAGGCGACCAGTATACAAACCACTCATGGAAGAGTAGAGGATTGAGCAAACACGTGAACGCCAACGTCATTCAAGATCCTTTGGTACCACAAGACAGAGTCTTATTGCCTCCACTTCATGTGAAACTTGGCATTGTCAAAAGTTTTCTGAAAACTGTGGCTAAGCGACAGGAAGTTTACTTGGTTTTAGGTGAAATTTTCCCTGGACTCAGCGAGAGTAAATTAAAAGAAGGTATAAACAATTACTATTACAATACTTTAAAATTGTTTGTATATAAATACATAATTATAATTATCATATAAATGTAATATGTACTACAATATCATATGATATTGAAATGAAAGTAAAATATATGAGGCATTCCACGCCAAATCGGATGGTTTGAAAAAAAAAATTTTTTGATTCCTCCAATTTTTTTATATTTTTTAGTGCTCCCTAAAAGAGCTTTCTCAGTAAATTTTGAGATTTTTTTGATCACGGGTTCAAAAGAAAAAACCGCTTTTTTTGTTTTTCGCTCATAACTTCTCAAAAAATGGTCCAAATCAAAATTTTCATTCTATATAAAATTTTTGTTTTTTAATTTACTTTTCAAAAAAATACATTGAAAATATTTGTAGTCAATATTTTTGAGTTTTAAAGTTTAAATCGTGTTTTTAAAATTGTATCTTGTTCGATTTTCGCGAAAAATTTTTATTTTCAACTTCTATCTATTCAAAAACTAGTAGTAGCCGGTAGTGGGCCATAATTCCTTTTTTTTCGATTTTTCAAAATTAAAAAAAGAATTTAATTTTGAAAAATCGAAAAAAAAATAGTAACTATGGAAAGCCCACTACCGGACCAGGCTAAATAGTTAAATAGATAGTAGTTAAAAATAAAAAATCTTCGCGAAAATCGAAGAAGACACACAATTTTAAAAACACGATTTAAACTTTAAAACTCAAAAATATTGACCTAGAACGCTTCAAATATTTTCAATGTATTTTTTTTCGAAAAGTACATTAAAAAACGAAAATTTTATATAGAATGAAAATTTTGATTTGGACCATTTTTTAAGAAGTTATGAGCGAAAAACAAAAAAAGCGTTTTTTTTTTTAAAATTTGATATCTTTTGAACCCGTGATTAAAAAAATCTCAAAATTTACTGGGAAAGCTTTTTTAAGGAGTACTATATTTGGCGTGGAATGCCCCATATATGCAATTTGACACATGCACAAACAGTTTCATTGTCAAATAATTAAAATCTTTCATTTTCTCATTTCATAGTACACTTATGTTTGTAAGTTTCTCTATAACATGGTATTTATGTTTCTTTATAACATTAAGTATTTCCTTAAAATATAATATTATTCCTGTGACTAAAATAATACCTTCTATTAGGAGTTGTGAATGGGCCAGACATTCGGAAACTCGTGAAAACTCAAGCATTTGACAAAGTTTTGAACAAAAACGAACTAACTGCTTGGCATTCAATAAAAGAAGTTATTGGAGGCTTGTTGGGAAAACATCGCTCTGAAGACTATGAACGCTCTGTTCATACTATGTTGAATAAGTTTTCCGAAATTGGTGTGAACATGTCGCTGAAAATTCACTTCTTGCACCACCATCTGGATTATTTCGGTCGACAGTTAGCCACCGAGTCGGATGAACAGGGTGAGCGTTACCACCAAGTTGCTATACCATTTGAAATCACGTAATATTTTATTTTTTTGTAATAAAATTATTAAGAAAACATTTTTAGATTTCGAGGGAAAAAAACGCCCGACGCAGTTCTCGCGGAAATTTGTTGGTGGAGCAAGAATATTTTCGAAGACGATTATCACGGAGAAGAAGGAGACAGAGAAGAGACAGAAAGAAAAACAGAAGATGTCAATTTAGATGCAGACCCTGACGATGACAGCGAAAATAGCGATCATTGTCCACTTCAATTAGAATCAAAAAGAGCTCGAACGACATAGATGCTATTCCTTTTTTGTATATTCCATGTAATGTTTTAAGTGATTAACGAAAAAAATAAGTAAAAAAGAAGATCGTTTACTTTACCACATGAAATATATTGCAAAAATTGAGTCAAAATGCGAAAAGTATACTGAAAAAGTACCAAACAAGCTTTATAACTACTAAAAGGTAAATAATGTAAGATATTTTGCCTTTTTTAATGCAACTATACTTAATTCCACTTGTTTGATTCATCGATTCATTTATTTTATTGACCGCAAGGAATGCGAGCTTCAAGAGGCCATAAAAAAAAAATGCGAGCTAATATCACCAAACCCTCCGAGGGTTTTCTTAGTCTGTTGGCCTACTTTCATTTCGCGTTGGAACCATTTGGGCTGAAAGCCATGTCCTAAAAATTGTTGCACTGTGTTATTAGAGAATGTTGCCTCTTCAAGAAAAGATGTATCCTCTTTATCTTTTTAAATAATAAAGGTCGAATTTTTTGAATAATTTTCTAGGATTCCTTGGGGTTTGTAGTAATACTCTTTTGTTGCCACCATTGTGAGAATTTTCACAATTAGTCAGTATTAATGATAATTTTCATTAATATTCAAATCTCCCATACATTATTATAATGAAAAAAAGTTATTAAATAGATGAATCCATTCATTATTCACACTAGATTTTCTACATTAAATCAATGAAATCTATTCATTGGAACAATGAATGTATTCGTTAAAGCAACGAATCTGTGTTTATTAAATTAATGTTTAAAATTCATTGAAACAATGAATGCTTTCGTTGAAGCAACAAATTACATTACCATTATGTCAATGGAAAAAAGTTATTAAATAGATGAATCCATTCATTAATCACACTAGATTTTCTACATTAAATCAATGAAATCTATTCATTGGAACAATGAATGTATTGGTTAAAGCAACGAATCTGTGTTTATTAAATTAATGTCAATGAAATTATTTTTCAATTCAATTAACAGAGTTCATCAAAATGATGAAATTTAATTCATACTTTAAATGTATGACTTTTCATTATATTGATGAATTAATAACACCATTCATTGAACATTTTCATTGTATTTATATCCACTTTTGGTTCAGTGTCTCATTAAAAGTTCTTACAGTTCTTTCCAAAATTTTGCCACACTCGCCATATGTATAAAACATATTAAGAATATCACGATAAGTATAAGTATTGTTATCAGCCATCATAAGACAATTAGCTATCTGTCAGTTTACATTTACTTATTTGTCAAATATGACATATAAAATCATCCAAAGCACACTTGTGACAAGTGTCAAATTTTTTTGAAAAAATTAAATATCTCAAAAACAAATCAAAATAGGAAAACGATTCAAAATGCAACTGCTTCAGAATTTTACGTAGAATTCTAAAAGGCAATAATATTTATACGGTTCCATTTGAAAAAACAAAGTTAATGTCACTTCCGTTTAAACCACGAGTGACAGGGCATTAAAAATATTTTAGAAAAATATTACTTTATATAAAACATTATGTTTTAGTTTTTAATAATATACATATTTTTTAGGTAAAATTTTGACAAATTTATATTATAATAATATTAATTTTATTTAAAAAAAACTTTTTTTTTAATTATATACCTATATTTTAGGTAAAATTTTGTAAATTTATATTATTCTTAATATTATATAAATTTTATTTAAAAAAAAAATATATATATTTTAGGTTTAATTATATATTTAAATTAATTTTGTATATTCTAGATTATTATTAAAATTATTTTTTTTAATGTTTTGTTTATTTGTAATAAATTTATTTAAAAATTTACTTACCTTTTTAACTTATACACATACCTACCATAGAAGCTAAATAAAATTTAGAAAAATAAAAATGATGAGGTGAGTTTTAAAATGATATAATCAAACAAGTTTTTTTTTAAACTTAAATATTTTATTATTTTTTAATATAATTTTTTATATAATTACATTTAAATTATTTACATTATTAACAGCTACCTAATTAAATATAAAATCTATTACCTATTACCTAATTAAATATAAAATCTATTACTATCTAAAGTTTCATTTAACTTACGTCCTATATTGTTATATATAAAATAATCGAATTTATATACCAATTCAAGCCAAATCATATGGTTACTATATCTTGGTTTGGCTTCTATAAAAGATTTGAACATGTTTGTGTTGTAAAAATGTCTATCATCACGGCAGATCTCAACGATTATGTCACCTAAGATTGAATTAAACGATTCCTCTAGACGTAATTCTTCATATTCTTCGACAATATTACTGTGGAAGGATTTTAACTTCAATAGATTATCCAGAGTTGATTTTTGAACAATATCATAATTTCCAGATGATTTTTCTGTCATTTTCACATTATTGGCCGGCATCGTTTTTATCACATAGTTTGAAACCTCGAACTCTTCTCCATTATTGGTATTTTAAATTCGTTGTTGTTGAAAGTGATGGCGTTGTATTCCTTGCCTCCTTTACATAGTTTTACACATATAGAAAAATTACTATATGGATTCATACCCACTATGTACTAACAAATGTTTGATAGCGTTACTGGGATTCGGACCCCTTTTAAAAGGTTATTTTTCTCATAATCCAATTCATGTATTGTTTGTTTAGATGCTAATGTATTTTGCGAGTAGTCACAGATTTTATTTAGATACAATTATTTCTGTATTCTGAAATAAAATAAATAATATATAATATAATATAATAATAAATATATATAAAAATAATGTAATAATAAAAAGATGTGTTAATTTCATTATATAATAATTGCTGCTAATTGTACCATAAAATTAAAAAAAAACAGAAAATTTGATGTTAATCAAACTTTGACCTCGAATATCTCTAGAAGAAATTAATTTATCGAAAAATAATAAGAGACCTTTTTTGTAGAGCGTTACATTTTATATATATGAAACTGCAATGATCATTGCCATAAGTTACTTTGATACAGAGGTATAAAATTCCAAACATAAAATTATTTTTTCCCATGTTAATTAAATGGGAAACTAAAATAAAAACAGCGACCTCTTGAGCTGGAACGCCCATATTTGGTGAGGATTTTTTTTATATTAAATAGAAACATTTGAGAGGGTGAGAGCGAAAAAAAAAATTAATTACTACAAAATATTTAAACAAATATTTAACAAGTATGTAATGCACTTACTTTTAACAATCAATTTCGATGTAAGACTGATGGTTTGGTGTTCCAAGTTTTCTTTTTTATATGAAAACTGAGAGACGCTTACTAACTTGTTAGGCATCTATGCATTGGGTCTACATAATATGTAGTACATTTAATTTAAATCGTTTAAAAAATTAATTATCAAAAAATTATTAGTATCCAACGGTTTTTAAACCTATTTTACTATTCTCTGGTAAACTTTTAACTGTATTTATTCAAATTACCTGTTAGTATTTAAAAATATAGAAATTTTATCTTTATTGCTTTTCATACCATTGAGGTAAAGTAAATTACCATTATTCTTTGCCGACGTATTTTATTATACCTACAAATTTAAAAAACACCCTTTGTGATATAAGTTTTGAAAATCAATAACGTTATATAGTTTAGTTTAGTCTGCTTTTTCTTTTTCCAACAAAAAGTGTCAATAAAATTTAAAGCTTTTAACTTGTCTACGTTTATTTTTTTCCCACCGTATTACAAGTCAATAGGTACCTGTGAATTTAGCCTAGCTATTAAGCTGAGCACGTAATTTCTTAAAACCGTATCGATTAAAATACTAGAATTCATTTATGCATATTTTTCTTCTGCAATAGATCCCAGCCCACCCGCGATGTATTTTTATGAAATTAATAATAGAACACATTGAATTATGCCACGTGCGAGCCCTGAACACATTAGAGATTATAAAACTTTTTCTTTTCCGCATATTTTTATTTTGCCACAATTTAAATCTATCAATCCAATTTTAATAATAGAACGTAGACCACCCACGTATGTATTTTTATCAAATTAACAATGAAACACATGAATTATGCGAACCCATTAGAGATTATAAAACCTTTGTTACTTTCCGCATATATTATACCTTAGGGCATCGTACTACGAGTAGCGAATTTTGCGTCACAAGTGAACTATGTATGCGGTGCCTTAGTAAACAAAGTATACTTTGTTTACTAAGGCACCGCATACATAGTTCACTTGTGTGTCGTACCTAGGCTGGTTATGGCCTTAAGTACTTCACCAAGGTTCCTCTCCGGTTGACTCTTCAGATATAGAGAAATACCTACCTCGGGTTGCTTTTATTCAGTGGAGAAAGTAGGGTTTATAAGAATCAGTTAGGGTTGGTGGTTTAATTTATAATGCAAAAGTAAACTTAAACTGGTTTATTTACCAATGTAAAAGTATGTACAAAATTATATTACAATTATATATACAGTACAGTATTTACAAGTATCGTAGACCATGAACACAAAGGTTCTTTCATAGCCTTTAGTCAGTACAGGCAAATGTTCCAGGGATTTTCACAGGGAACTGGCAGGCAAAGGCGTGGTTTTCAGTCCTACAGAGAGACAGGGCAGATTTGCAATTGGACTCTAGTGGAAAAATACATGTTGTTAGTTTATGTTTTATGCATACAGGATTTACAGTTTAATTAACTCTGTTATTAAAGCTTAATATTATACGGCTTAAAGCCCTGTGATATTAAAAACAGGTTAACTTACTGTTAATATTCCACTGAGAGTTCTCTGTGATTTAGTGGTTGGTTTTCGGGCTCACAATTGGTAACACCATTTGGAATTGAGCCACCAGACGACTGATTGTCCATTGAAAAATGCAGCGGTTTTATAGACGAAATTCTGATGACAGACTTGATGAAAAACAATTGGGGCCGTGTGCAATAAATCCTTCACACGGGCCGTGTGCAACAATTGTTGACAACATATATGCGGTTGACAGCTGTCCAAGCGCCATCTGTTAGAGTTCCGTCTAACTGCAGGTGTCTGGTAGTCCAACTCTTTCCTTGACGTCGGGTAGTTAGGAAAATCGTCTCATAGATGTCGTAATGTGTATCGTTACACTTGTGACGCAAAATTCGCTACTCGTAGCACGATGCCCTAAAGGTATAATAAACCCTCAGCGTCTTATTGGACCCTAGCCCCTGTAGCTACAGTGAAGAAGG